GAATACTACTCAGCAGAGAAAAACAATGACATCATGAGGTTTGCAGGCAAATGGATGGATCTAGAAAAAATCATCTTGAGTGAGGTAACCCAGACTCAGAAAGACAAATATGGTATGTACTCACTCAGAGGAGGATACTAGATAGGGAACAAGGATGACTGGACTGCTACTCACATCACCAGTGAGGCTACCTGGAAAACAGGACCCCAAGAAAGACACAGGGATCGCCCAGTGACAGAGAAATGGCTGAGATCTACATGAACAACCTGGACATGAGTGGGAGCAATGAAGGGCGAGGGTCGAGGGAAAGAGAGCGGGAGATCCCAGCTGGATCAAGAACAGAGAGTAAAACATTCTTAAGTGACTGCCTCGCTGATGTTCAGACAGGCAAAAGCTGAGGGTGCCTGTGGGGCATCACATCCTCTGAGACTCCAAATTCTTTGACTTTGGTATCTTCCAGTGTAGTGAACTTGGAATGGTATCCCATTGTGGCTTTCATTTTTTTTTACTCTCGAGACAGGGTTTCTCTGTGTAGCTCTGGCTGTCCTGGAACTCACTCTGTAGAACAGGCTGGCCTTGAATTCACAGAGATCCACCTGCCTGTGCCTCCAGAGAGCTTGGATTAAAGGTGTGCGCCACCACCATCTGTGGCTTTTGCTTTTATTTCTCCTGCTATCTGCTCTTCTTGTATGTTTATGGGCTGTTTGTGTTTTCGTTCATTCTGTTTCCAAGTAGAGTACCTTTGAGAGTACTCCCCATACGCTGAGAACTCTTTGAGTCTCTGCTTGCTTGGAATTCCCCAGTCTACTGATTGCCTGTTTTCTATTGGGCTGGTTTTCTTCTTCAGAGGAATTCTTGGTGTGTTCTAGAAACTTCCCGTGTCATACATGTTGAAGTGGTCATCTCTTAAGTTTGAGGTTTGCCATTTTGCTTTGTGGTGTTTTCTGATGAATGGAAACTATTTTAAAATAGGCAGGTCATTTCTGATACTGTCCTCTAAAAGCTTTAGACTTTGCACTTTTAAGACCTTACTTTCACTTGAAATATGTTCTTGTGTATTATATAAACAAGGAGTCCAATTTCTTTCTTTTTCCCACATGGAGAACTGACTCTCCTGGCACCATTTTGAATAGGCTGTCTTTTGCTCACTAGTCTACAATGCTTTCTTTGTCCTGAGTTATGCGCTCACCCCCCCCACCACTGTAATATCCTACATATGTATGTATCTGCTTCTGAGTTCTTCTGTTTTTCTGAGTGTTAGCTCCTCCATGCCAGTGTGCTAATGTTTCAGTTACTCATAAGCAGAAAGGGCTGATGATCATTTTCAAAGTTAAACTCACAGAGCCTGACACATTAAATACTGAACTAGCTTCGTTATCATAGTAAG